TGTACGTTCGGCAGGAAGTGCAGCAGTGGATTCCACTGCGTTACGGAATATCACGCTGCTATCCATGAAAGCATCACCTCGACGGGGTGTATTTACCCCACGGGTTTTGGAATTTACATGAACCGCAACCGGCTTAGCCGCGGGAAACGAGACTGGGCGCAAGTTATCAGACGAGGTTGAAGCAACTGTAGCGTACGACTTAGGCTCCAGCTTGTTCGTCCCGTCATTCTTGACGCTTTTCGTACCTGCCTGAAGAGTACGGGCAGTTCTGTTCCGATTTCACTTTCGTCCTGCAGGCGAAAAAGCCCGTGGCTCAACGTCCATGCCTGCCTCCACGACCTGTACCCCTGGAAGACAAGATGTGTTTGGAGTAGGCACCGCAATTTGAGTAGCACTCGATGTAGACATCTGGGGTTTTTTACCCCCTTCCTGCACAATCTTAGGTGAAACTGAGGGATTCGCATCACCAGGTGGTGTTTCCCGCTCAGGTGGTTGCACCTTGAGCGTCTTCACACCTCTCGGTTTGGGTGCGGAGGGTTTGCGCACTTTTCTTGCCCTCTTTCGCCCATTCTTTTCCGGCCCAGGAGCCCGTGACTCGCCCTCCGTTTGTGGAGGGTCAACAATGCCATCCGAGGCATATGAGTCATCTATCTCAATGTGTACTGGAGCGTCCGGTAATATGAACGACCCATCAAGGGATGACCAAGGGTTCCTTGAACGAATGATTTCTATCTTATTCGATGAAGGTGAATTAGGTATAAACATTATCTCTGCCTTCCGCCTGGGCAGGAAGCAAGAGGATCCTTCCAAGGTACGTCCCCTCAAGATCGTATGCCAAAGCGAAGAGGAATGCCGACGCATCCTCCGACGAACCCCACGTTTGAAAGGTGAGCCTTTTTACGTCCTGAGAGATCTTTCTCCGGAAGATCGTATTAAGATGAAAACAGCCGTTGATGAGCTCCGGTCCCGCCGAGCAAATGGTGAGACAGACCTCCACATTGTGGATTTTCGTGTAATCCGGAGAACCCCGAGAACCCGGTGGAGGCCAATTCTCCTCAACCCAGGACAGTAAAGCACGAGAATGGACTGCGTGTAATTGTTGCCAATGTACGCAGTCTGAGAAATAAACTTGATGAGGTACAGATGCTTGCGTCAGATACTCGCCCAGACTTGATGGCCTTTACCGAAACTTGGCTTTTTGCAGACATCATAGATTCAGAGGTTTCTATCCCCGGATACAGTCTTTGTCGAGCCGACCGCCTTGGAGGTAGGCCCGGTGGCGGCGTTATACTTTACTGGAAGGCCGAACTCAAGGCCCATTTGGTTGCAGCTACTAGTGGCGCCGATGGTGATTTTGATGCCCTGTGGTGCCGTATTCATGATGGATGCAGATCCTACACTATTGGTGTTGTTTACAGAGCGCCATCGGGATCCGGAGTTCAGTTGCTCGATTCGATCAGGAAGCACTGCGCGGGAAAGGACAGTCTTATCGTGGGGGATTTTAATGCCCCTAATATCGACTGGGACCTACTTCTTTGTGGTCGTCCACCTGATTCTTTTGATGCTACCTTACTTGAGACTGTTATCGGTTGTAATTTGTTTCAACACGTCACCATGCCAACCCGCATTGTTGCCGACCAAACGCCAAACATTCTGGACCTTGTGCTCACCCCAGCTCAGTCAGATGTCACGAACCTAACAGTTCTTCAACCCATCGGCAAAAGTGATCATTGTGTCGTTTCATTCCAATGGACACGTCGCCTCACGATCCATAGCCAAGGTGGTTGTCGTCGGAACTTTTGGCAAGCGGATCCTCTCCGTCTGAGAACAGCCGCAAGCGCTATGGACTGGAGTATTCCTGATCCCATTCCCCTTGATGATGCGTGGAACCTTGTGCTCTCCAAAATGACTTCTCTAATTGAGCAGGTCGTTCCTTTCTCCCGTAGAAAGTGCTTCAAGAGGGGTCCACCTTGGATTGACAGTGAATTGAGATCTCTGATAAACAGAAGACGCAAATTGTGGGATCGTTTTAGGCAATCTCAAACAGAGTTCGATTACTCTTCCTACAAGACCACCAGAAATGCTTGTGTCGCGTTGAAGCGACAGAAACGTCAGCAATATGAACTATCATTAGCAGCACATTCCCGAACGACACCCAAAATGCTTTTCTCTTATTTAAAAAGAAGTACCAGGGCTGGCAGTGGCATCCCCACCTTGTGTTCCCTTGAACATCGAAATTTACTTTACGAAGACGCTGATAAAGCCAGTCTTTTGGCCCAGCAGTACGCCTCTGTCTTCACGAAAGAAACTCCCGCCTGTGACAACACTGTGTCCAGTTTTCCTTATGAGTTGGATCAAGTAGACATTAACTTCAATTCTGTGGTTAAACTTCTCCTTGCTTTAGATCCGCATTCTTCACCCGGCCCGGATGGCTTGCACCCCCTGTTCCTTAGGATTGTGGCGCAATACATCGCCCCTCCTATCTGTCAGGTTTTCCGTCTTTCTTTTGAAGCTGGGCGTCTCCCGTCGGCTTGGAAAGTGGGCATTGTAAAACCCATTTACAAAGGAGGGAACAGGCAAGATCCAGCCAACTATCGTCCTATCTGCTTAACGTCGATATTATGTAAAGTTATGGAGCGGATCTTGAAGCAGACTCTTCATCTCTACCTCGAGGAACTGAATCTCTTCTCTTGTGCACAGCATGGTTTTCGAAGGGCACGCTCATGTACCTCGAACTTACTAGTTGCTAAGGAGAAATGGGCGAAATCGCTAGATTCCGGCAAACGCTTGGATGTTGTGTTTGTGGATTTCAGCAAAGCTTTCGACAGGGTCCCGCACGAACGACTTTTGTTTAAACTCCGAGGAATCGGTATTGCCGGGAATCTTCTCTCCTGGATCTCTGATTTCCTTCGCGACCGTACGATGCAGGTGCAAGTAAACGATACATTTTCCGCCCCTGTTCTCATGACTAGTGGAGTCCCACAAGGTTCGGTCCTCGGCCCTGTGCTTTTCAACATCTTCATCAATGACTTACCGTCAACACTCCAGGCGGATTGCCTAATCTACGCCGACGACTTGAAGCTGTGGATGGAGGTATCCAGTATGGAAGATGCTGACAGGTTGCAATCGACACTCGACCTGCTACATGATTGGTCAATTAAGTGGCAGTTGCCAATGAATCATGAGAAGTGTTCAGTTCTCCCAGTTGGTGCGTCTGTCCCATTTGGAATCTACCATATTGGTGGTTCCTTGCTCAGAAACGCCACTCAGGAGAGGGATTTGGGAGTTGTACTTTCGTCTGACCTCAAATCTAATGAAGATACCAAGAAAAAGGTCGCTGCGGCCTACAGGATGTTTCACTCTATACGCAGAGGTTTCTCTCGCCTGACCCCGGGGATCTTCCGACTCCTGTTTACACCACATGTGCGCCCGCTTCTGGAATACGGGATACCTGCCGCCTACCCTCTTACGAAATTTGAATGTGACATGATTGAAAAGGTTCAACGGCGTGGATCCAAATCTGTTGCTGAGCTGCGGGACCTGTCCTATTCTCTCCGACTCAAACAACTGAACCTCTTTTCCCTGGATTACCGTCGTCATCGCGGAGATTTGATCTTCACCCGACGTGTTCTTAGAGGAGAGTTGGGAAGGGAATTACAGGAATTCTTTCATCTTAACACAGAGAGTTCAACAAGGGGCCACAGTTTGAAACTGTTCAAATCGAGGATTGATCGAGTGCGATCCAGCCTGGCTTTATCCACTCGCGTTGTGAATGACTGGAACCGCCTTCCGGAGTCCATCGTCGTTGCCGAGACCGAGGAACGTTTCAAGCATTTATTGGACTCTCACTTTAGTTTACGGGGATCCAGCCGTTTCCAATGCAGCTTCAGCGCTTCTCTGTGGGACCTTGTTCCGCAATGACCCAGGCTATCTCCGAAACGATCGGAAAGTGACGGAGCTGACAAAGGAACTTCCTTCTGCTCTCTATTATCCAATGATCCAATGAAGGGATGGACTGTCAGCAGGGGGACAGTTCGCTACAGAGTCCTCCTTTGCAATACTCAGGTGATTCATAATCAAGTCCACTTTAGAGTTGAGCGAGGCAAGCCCGACTAACGCCTTCTCAACCAATGTGAACCTGCATGCCAGTGCCTTAAATTCGGCACAGATGATAGCCGGGTACTTCGCTTTCTGAGTGCAGCAATCAGCACAGCTAAACAGGAGGTTTTCACTGGATGATAGCATAGCGTACTGGTTCGCTCGGAGGCCGGTGCAACCTTTGTGATACCAGCGGAAGCAAACATCACACTGCATACCACCAGATGAATCCGTAACTGGTCTCGTGCAGGCAGAATTGCCGCAAACTGCAGTGGACTCATTATTTGAGGACCCAAAGGTTTCATCCGCCTCGGTTTTTATTAAGACGACCATGTTTAAAGTGGAAAACTGAGCAGAATTGAAAAACACGTATACGACCGTAAAACGACCACAAAAAGGCAAAACAGGGTGTGAAACGGGATTAAAAAGGGAACAACCGCAAAAATTACCAGTAAGCGTCAAGGAGACGCTTTGTCCAGTAGCACTTGAATCGATCCAAGATATCTTGGATCAGAGAAAATTTGACAATAGTCAAATTTCGCTTCACGTGTTTATTCAAACACTGTTTTCCACAATACTTCAGCTAGAAAACTCGATCAGTATGGCACGCCAAAAAATCGAGTTACCGCGTAGAACTCACAGTACGCCATGCTGCATGTGGACTATGTTCAAGTTCAAGTTCAAGCGGGACTGGAACGATAGGATAGATCCCGTGAGTGTTCCTTCTTCGGCGGGTCGTTGAACCAGGAGTTGGCGAACTTTGAAATACTGATGGACCTAAAACAAAGACCGCATCACACCCTGTCCAACCAATTAATGCCCACGTATCCTGCCCTAGCAGTCCCTGCTGGGTCGGTTACGTGAAGTAAGAAAGAGAAAAAAGTAAACGCAGGAGGCAAAAGAGAAAGTGGTAAGAGCTAAGCAAGTGGAATACCAAGATATTTGAGTCAATAAAAAAAGAACTGAAAAATGAAGGTGAGTCAGCTAGGAAAAAGGAAAGGTTTGCTGTTGCCACCCAAGAGCATCGAGCTGGCGCGCAAAACCCTTAACCGTAGGTTCCCTAACCACGTGATCTGGAAGAGAATTCCAGCGATCTATAACTCGGCGCGATAGACGAGTTTCCGTCCTAATCCTATCAGACCGTGGTTTATGCAGTTTCAGTGGGTGACCGCGGAGACTAGGTAACGTAGCGGGACTAAAAAGCCCTGACAAGTCCGGGCCAATCTTACCCGTCAAAATACGATAAGTGAGAATCAGGTCCCCTCTTATCCTTCGGTAGTGCATGGAGTACATCCCCAAACTGAGCAAGCGTTCAGGATACGTCTGTCCCCGTAGACCCTGCACTAACCGAGTGCCCACTCGTAACACCCTCTCCAAGTCCATTTTGTCTCGGTTAAGACATGGTGGACAAGCCTGAATACAATATTCCAGGTGGGGTCGGACGAATGCCGAAAATAGCTTCACAAACAACTTGGCCGTTAAGATTCCGAAAGAGCGGCGGATAAACCACATCATACGAAACCCTCGACAAGCAGCCTTCTTCCAGTTGTCTCCAGAATGAAGTGCTGATGCGTGTACGACTCCTAAATCAACCTGCTGAGTGACAACAGGGAGTTCACCACCGCCGAGAACATATCGGGTGGGAGGATTTGCAGCTCCGATTCGGAGAACAGAGCACTTGGCCCTATTTATGGGCATCAACCATAAGATAGACCATTCCCAGAGTCTATCCAAGGCACGCTGAATTGCCTCAGGACCCCCCGGGATATCCACAATATTCCAGAGCTTAAGGTCGTCAGCAAACATTAATGATGACACCCCTAGCTCTCCCGGCAAGTCATTTACATAGATCGCGAACAACAATGGCCCCAATACCGAGCCCTGCGGAACGCCACTAAGGACAGCTTGCCTGAGCGAAAGGCTACGCCCCACCCGTACGCACTGTTCCCTCCCCTCAAGGAAGGCAGACACCCATTGAAGGGCGCGACCAGATATCCCGTAAGATCTCAACTTTAGTGAGAGCCGAAGATGTGGAACAGTGTCAAAAGCTTTCGAAAAATCTACGAATAGCACGTCTACAGCGTGGCCACTGTCTACCGCTTCGGCCCAGCTTTCACGAGCTACAAGTAAATTAGTCTGACATGAAAATCCTTTGCGGAATCCATGTTGTGCAACACTGAGAAGGTTGAATCGATTCAGGTGGTTCTCCACTGAATCCCTTATCAGCTTCTCGAACAACTTGACTACTACGCTTGTCAAACTGACAGGCCGGTAGTTCGCGGGTAGAGCGCTGTCACCGCCCTTAAAAATCGGACAGATGATTGCCTCCTTCCATTCCGAAGGTAGGCTGCAGCTGTCCAGCGATATTGAAAATACGCACGTGAGCGGACCACTCAGCTCAGTGGCCAGTTCATGCAACAGCTTCGGATGAATTGAATCAGGACCGGAAGCTTTAGAGGGATTAATGCCTTGCAGTAGCTCGAAGACCTGAGTCTCCGTTATGCTAAATTCAGCTAAGCAAGAATCCTCTGGAACTCTTGAAACCAATTCAACCTGCGGTAAAGAGGTCTCCCGAGCAAAGACCGCAGTATACTGATCACTCAGTATACAAGCCTTGTCATAGTCAGTTTGCGCAGGGGTCCCGTCTGCTCGCAATAAAGCTGGTATAGACAATTTTGCCCCGCTGCGTCTTTTAACGTAAGCAAAAAACTTCTTGGGATTAGCTGCGGCCGAGTCCGCTAAACCCTGCTCGTATTGGAGACGAGCAGTTCTGAGATGTTGCTTACATTTATTTCTATTCTCTCGATAACTATCATAGGTACTGGCTGATGGAGCTGCTTGGTAGGTTCGCCAGCATCTAGACCGTTTCTTGAGTAGGTACTTGCCTGTGGTATCTATCCATGGAGGCTGTGCCCTTAACCCTCTTTTCCTAATGAGTGGAATATAGGGTGCGGAAACCTCCGTAAGGTATGCCTTAAATTTATCCCAGGCTAACTGGACAGAGTCAGCCATCGAAATCTCACAGTTCAGAACTGAAGCCTTAGTTCGCATTGCACTAAAGTCCGCCCGCCAAATATTCGGAAGTAATTCAACAGCGGTCTCTTGGTGCCTTGAAAGAGCACATCGAAAGGATATGCATGCGTGATCGCTGGACCCTAGAGGTGCACCGCATGAAACGTCAGTCACGAAGTCCAGGGACTTAGCGAAAACCAAATCCAAAGTAGATGGCATTTGGTTATCCATATACCTAGTGGGAAAGTCAACGAACTGGTGCAAAGGCACTTGGAGAGTCAGTTCAAGGAAGTCTGCACCGAATGTTCCTAATGCCGAATTGCAAGAAAGATCGGCCCAACAGACTTCCGGGAGGTTGAAATCCCCTAGAACTAAACACTTATTCGCAGACTGAGTGCGAATAAAGTCAAGTATCCCCCTGGAGGAACTTCCAGGACTTCTGTATACCACTATAACTGTAAACTGGGTAGAGGAAGTGCACAAAACAGCCGATAGGGCTTCAACAGTCTGATCCGACGACTGGAATGTGCAAGTCCTCAACACATCTAAGTTACAGCTCACATACAGTACAACGCCTCCGCCTTGGCGACCAACGGAGCGATCAGTTCTAAGCAGCGCGTAGCCAGGTAAATATACCTCACCGTCCGTGATATCCGGAGACAACCACGTCTCAGTGAAAGCAAGTATGTCGGGACGAGATTTGTCTACAAGTAGACCCAACTCGTGCACCTTGTTCCTTAGGCTACGCACGTTGCTAAGTACTACCTCAAGGAAGTCGGCACGACCATCCCTGGGTCGTGCGCCATCAGGATTGGTTCTGATAGGGCGGAAAGTAATTTCCGGCTGACCACCTGAAAACCCACCAGACGGAGGCCTTGTTCACCAGCCGCCCGTCTAGTTTTGAGGTCTTTGATAGCCTCCTTTAACTTCAACCTATCTGCCAGTGGGAGGTCCGGCTGAACGCTGACACCACTACCCTTAAGTTTGAATGCAAATCGCAGTAACGATTTGCGTTCCTCCGGGGTAGAAAGGACTACGCGAAGTAGTCGGGGTCGTGGATTTGGCGTAGCGATAGGAACGTTCCCCAATCTGGTCAGCTTTCTGACAGTGACACCAGGGAAACCAGGTGGAAGCAGCTTGCTGACACACAGTTTCAGCCACTTGATGTCATCCAAGATGCGTTCCCTTGGGAGAACAGCCTCAGATTCAGTAACGTTACGGAATATAACGCTACTATCCGTGAAAGAGTCGGCACGACGGGGAGTGTTTACCCCACGTGCCTTTGAGTCGACACCTATACCAGCTGTTTTCACCACTGGCGGTGGGACTGTCGCTGGCTTCCCAAACGACGCCGAAGCAACGGTAGCGTAGGTTTTCCGCTCTATTGCCGGCGTCTTACTGGTTCCAGGGTCTTCAAGCCCCTTCGAAGTTTTACGAGCAGATCTTGTCCGCTTCTTCTTTTGGCTCACTGGAGCAGGGGCTGTTGACTTTGTATCGCATTGGGCAGTTACCAGCATTTCGTCAGAACAGGCTGGTTCACTGGCGGCCGAGACAGTCAGCGTCTGTGGAAAGTTCTGTGTGCAATCTTCAGACGACTTTACGACTGTCAAAGACGGCATCTCGTTTGATGCCGTGGCAACTATTTCTCTGGGTTTAGCAGAGGGCTTTAGGTATTTCCGCACCCTATTTTTCTTCACTTTGATCGGATCATGAGGACCGCCAGCAATGCTACCTGGATTGGCCGGTAGGATGTGCGACTTTATGATCGAGTGAGAGACTCCAGTGGATGGATCGTCAGCAATGTTGCCGGCTATTGCTGTGTCTTCAAACGAAATATTTAGGGATTTTAAAATTAAATCCATTTTCGTATCGAGCGACGCAATAGAGGCGAGTTTAGCTATCGCCAACTCAACATCTGCCAACCTTGAAGCCAACGCTGAAAGTTTAGCACCGGTGACAGCCGGGCGCGTCGATCTTTTAGCGCAGCATTCAGCGCAGCTGAAAAGAAAGTGGACGCTTGATGATAGCATTTGGTACTGGTCAGCTTGTAGGCCGGTACAGCTTTCGTGATACCAGCGGCAGCAGACGTCACACTGCATACCACCAGATGCATCTGTTACTGGCTCTGAACAGTTAACCTGTCCGCAAGCTGCAGTAGACTCATCAAACGAGGACCCCATAGGTCCATCCGTCTCGGTGTTTAGCGAGACAGCCATGTTCATGTGGAAAACAGATTAGAATAACAACACGTATACAATAGGAAAACGACCGCAATAAAAAGGCAAAAACAGGGTGTAAAACGGGATTAAAACTGGGAACAACCGGAAAATTTACCAGTAAGCGTCAAAGACGCTTGGGCCAGTACCAATTTAATCGATCCAAGATTTCTTGGATCAGAGAAAATTTGACAATAGTCAAATTTCGTTTCAAGTGTTTATTCAAACACTGTTTTCCACGTTATTTCAGCTGAAAAGCTCGATCAGTATGGCACGCCAAAAAATCGAGTTACCGCGTAGTACTCACAGTATAGGTTGTTCCACTCATTCACAACAAGTGTGGATAACGCGACACGTGGGAACCGAGTATATTCTCTACAACTTGTTTTAAATTTTTGGTTGTTATACGGCCCTGCATCAGTGAGCATTTATTCTACTGAAAACGAGAGTGGCTAACTTTGACATGGAAAATTGGCCTGGAGAGACTTTGTGTTCCGGTACACCTAGCTAAATGGTTGGGCTTTCAAGTTCAAGTTCAAGTGGGACTGGAACGATAGGATGAATCCCGTAAGTGTTCCTTCTTGAGCGGGTCGTCGATCCAGGAGTTGATAGGGGTGCTCCGACTTCTTGATGGGTCTAAAAGGAAAACACCCGAAAAACACCCTGGTCCACCAATTTAATGCCCACGTTCCTAACATTAGCTGTCCCAGCTGTGTCAGTTACGTGAAGTAAGTAAGAGAGGAAGGAGAATCGAAGGTAAGGGAGTAGGGGAAATCAGTTAAAAGAAGAGAATAATACCAATGACGAGGAAAAGCAAAGAAAATAGAATCGAAGTATGAAGATGGGAATTTGTCAGGAAAACGGAAAGGTTTCGTGTTGCCACCCAAGAGCATCTAGTTGACGCTCAAACCCCTTAACCGTAGCTTCCTTGACAACATTTTCAGGAAGCAGGTTCCAGCGCTCGATGACTCGACGCGATAAGCGTGTCTCCGCTCTAACTCGATCGGACCGCGGCTTGTCCAGCTTCATACAATGCCCGCGGAGACCAGATAATCTAGCAGGACTAAATAGCATGGACAAATCAGGGCCAACCTTCCCAGTCAAAATACGGTAGGTTAGGATTAGGTCCCCTCTAATCCTTCGATAGTGCATTGACTGCATTCCCAAACTAAGTAGGCGTTCGGGGTACGTTTGCCCTCGTAATCCCTTGACCAACCTAGTACCGACACGCAACACCCTTTCTAGTGCCATTTTGTCCCGGACAAGGCATGGTGGACAGGCCTGGACGCAATATTCTAGGTGGGGTCGCACAAACGCTGAGAAGAGCTTCACGAATACATCAGCGGTTAGGGTCCCAAAAGAACGACGGATAAACCACAACATCCGGAACCCATTACTAGCCGCCTTCTTCCAGTTGTCTCCAGAGTGTAATGTGGAACAGTGGATGACACCTAGATCAACCTGATGAGTCACGTGAGGAAGTACAGTCCCATCGAGCACATAACTTGTGGAGGAATCAGACGCTCCGATACGCAGCACTGAACACTTTGCCCGGTTTATAGGCAGCAACCACAAGACAGACCATTCCCAGAGTTTATCCAGAGCCCGTTGAAGAGCCATAGGACCTCCAGGGATATCAA